TAGTGTAGGGAAAGAAGATAGCAGAACAAATAACCGCAGGGGAGGCTTCCTTTTGAGGTAGGCAGCAATAGCTCTGCCCTGTTTCATCTATTCCTCATCTACCCAAAAAGCAGAGCACCAGACAGGCTGCTGAGGAGCAGCTTAAGCAGCAAGAGGCTTTCAATACCTCCTGTTCATGTACATCTGCTATTACTCCTGGCAAGCCACTCCTACCTTTCCTGTTTTGAACTCTTGGGCTGTTTCTATTGTTAAGAGTTCTCCCTTTCCAGGGGTAGAGGGACATCAGTTATTACCAAAGCTCTTTCCTTGCCGGTAACTTGTGGCCTGAAACAACGTGATACTCTTAATCCCAGGATCTGTTTGGTGTTTCCTCAACAAACCCGTAAAGCTGTGCTGTGGGCTCTTTGCAGTGGCCCACTTGAAGCTGTCATCTCTTTTACTTATTTCCTTCGCTGGAAGGGCTGTGGGCACAGTAATCTCCGCAGGACTGTTTTATCAAACCCTTGCTCTGTCTTCTCCATGGTCATAGGTACGAAGATGCCTTGGTTCTGTTGCTGACAGAGGTGTTGAATCGAATCCAGTTCAGGTATAACCAGGCACAGCTGGAGGAGCTGGATGACGAGACACTGGATGATGATGTAAGGAGCAGAGTTGAACAAGGACAACTGCAGGTCCAGATATTCTCTTGCACTGGTAACACCTGGAATGTCTTTCCCAGAGCTTGTACTTCAGAGTACAAGCTAGACAGCTGCTGCTTCACCCCATTCTGTGTGGGGTTTGAGGTTTAAAGCAGCATGAAATACTTTTGATAGAAATGTGCCTAAAGTCACACTGAAAAGATATGACCGTTGTTTTTAGCTTGGTTCTTATGGAGGAAAAAATACAGATACTTATGTTGTGATTATCACAGGCATTAGGTATCCATGTCTGGTTGCTTTGGAATTTAAATGCTGAAATATCTCTGAGACAGAAGCTTTAAGCTGTATATATTGTTGTTGCTTTCGTCTAAGCTTACTTCTCCTAAGTCAGTATTGGTAAACATCACCTCAGTCCTGGTAAGTGTAAAAGTGGAGCAGGTGGCCAAAATGGATGAGGCCAGAGCACTGGAAGGGCAGGTTGTTCTGCATAAGGGATCCTTGCCATCTGAGCACTAAGTGTGCTTTAGGAGTGAATGCTTGTGCCTTACCACTCCAGGGAAACACATGCACGCACGCTCAAAGCGTGGGTTGGCAAAATTAGTCTCCATCAGATGGCTAGCAGCAAATGAGAATCGTAAAAGCTGTATCTCTTCGGTATCTGGGTGTCTGCAAAAGCCAAGCTCTGGAAAGGAGCTAGCTAGTCCCAAGCATCAATTAAGACCTAGTCTACAAAAAGCTCTCTGTTTCCCTCTGGAAGTGCTGTGCTTACTGTGGCGTTTCTTCCTGTAGCAGCAGACTGAGTGGCAACGGTACTTGCGCCAGAGCTTGGAAGTGGTTGCAAAAGTCATGGAGCTCTTGCCAACTCATGCCTTCTCCACACTAGTAAGTAATTATCCAGACCAGAAGTATAAGGTGAAATGAGCACCAACTGCTGGAGTTTGTTGCGAGCTGTTTGATAGTGGCCACAGTGCCAAAAAAGTAAGGAGGTTTGGGTTTGGATGCAAAAGCTTGGCAAGGAGGAGACCAGAAATTGAAGGAGAAGGCTTGGACTTTTTGGCTTTGTCAGATTTCTTGGTGTGTTTTAAAGAGGGTACTTCAGTGAGGATCTGAGTCCTACTTGCTGGACACTAACCTCTTTAGAAATTCCCATCTTTCAAAGTGTAAATATTTGGCAGCAGTCCTTCACTGCTGTTTATCTTGTCCTTTCTGTTAGGAGGCAGTGCTGCGAATTTCACAGATGAGAGTGTCATTAGGGTTCTAAGGAGAATGAAATCTTTGTTTACATGAAAGCCTAGATGCAGATGCTGAAAAGAGTGCCTCAGACAATTGGGAATTATATCTGATAAACACAGATAAGTGCTTCTCTCCAGCTAGCGCCGCTGCTGTTGCTAGAATCTGTGGTATAAAAATTGCCTGGGTTTGTAGCACTATATTGGTTTCTGAGGAGGAGATCTTGAGGCTGTAAGCCAGTGGAGCCCAAAATTCAGAGTAGTTGGTGCCTTTTCTCAAAGTGAGAAGAAAGGCAGATATAGCCGTGGGGCCTGAAAGCAAGTCTATTAATTCTGCTGGAGATACTGCATACCTAGACCTCTGAGCCGTATTCCCAAGCAGCAGAGAAAATTGAGCTGCTGCAGAGGCAGAAGATGCCTGACCTGAACTGCTTTTTTTTTAATTGATATTTTTATGTAAGAAACATTCTAGCTGAGCTAAGCACTAGAAGCTTATTACTAGAAACTCTGAAGTAGCGAACAAAATAATCTTCATACAGAAGTAGAAGTTCCTCTGCAGTGTAGTGGTATGGCCTGAGTCAGCAAGACGCCAAAAAATGGAGCGGCTCTTTCGGTGAGCATATGGGTCATACGGTGAAGAGCATGTGGCTTCCTTAAAGTAACACAGTAACATGAGCAAGACTCTCTGGTTTTTTTAAATAGTGCTCCTGCTGCAGTTATACAAAGGTGCTCAACTGCTAATTAGGCACAGCCTGTTAGCAACTTGATAGCGAGCGCTTTCCTTGAGCCCTGTGTTAGCTCATTTTTGTACACCTGATAACCTGGGAGGTGCTCAAGCGGTTTTGCGTGCTTTTCGCCGCAGTCTGCGGCGCTGTTGAATGCGGCGGCTAGTCTACCAGTAGCAAATGAAAACAACGTACAGCAGCTGCTGTTACTCTGTCCCGTGCTGGAAAATGGAAGGCTGCAGTTCCCCGTGCCGGTGGACAAGTGAACTTTGATAAAACCAGCTACTTCCAGTGTGGTGACTTTGCCAGTAGAAATGAAGTAGACCTATACCAGACTGAAAGGGTTGGAAAAATATTATTTCAAGTGGAGTATCTACAAGGAAAAGGTCAGTGTGCAACTTTGTCCTATATGTATACAAATGCATTCAGGCATAAATAACCCCCTAATAGATACCCCTGAAGTACCTTGGCTGGCCGAACACTGCTCAGGAGGCTTTCTGGTCTCAGTTTATAACACAGTCCCCCATGGTAGTGTGACTTGTTGCTCAGAACTCCTCTTCTTTGGTTGAATAATATTTTGATGGCTGCACTTCGAGAAGCTGGTACTTTCGGGCAAGGTGGATGCAGCAAAGGCTTCCAGTGCTCCAGGCTCTGCCTGAGCTCTGTTCAGTCTGAGTTATGCATCCAGCTGCATATTCATACTGGTGGCACGCTGTGCCATCACTTGTGCTTGTCAGACCACTATCTCTTTAGGCGGATTGCTGGTATTTGTGGGAAAAGGAGAGCTACCACAGAGAAGTGCCTTCAGGGCGGTGATCTTTGTTTTCATGACGATTATCGAGCCATGAGAAGCTGTGGTGTGCAGGATCAGCCCAGAACCTAGCAACTTGCCTTTTCTCCAGATCTCTTTTTGAAGACACTAGGGAGAAATAGGAAGACTGTGCTCTAACCAAGTAATTAGTAGTTGGGTGTTAACCGTCTGCCAAGCCCCAAAATCATGCTCGCTTCTTGTCTCTTCTAGTTTCCAGTTCTGCAGGATAACTTGGAAGTGTACCTGGGACTCCAGCAGTTTGTGGTCACTTCAGGGACAGGTAATAACCACCGTCCAGTACTGCGGTCCTCCCTCTTCGAGTAGCTGATTGCAAAAACACTCTAGAACTGCTTTGGTGTTGCTTCTTCCATATTCCATTGAGGTTCTGAACACGTGTGGTGTCTAATGGCTCAGTAGCTAAACTCCAATAGCAGACAAAAATCTAATAATGTGACTTTTTATTGGTATGTTTCCTCCCCTGTTCTAGTACTTGAAATTGAGATACCATATATATGAGGAACAGGATGCAGCATCAAATACTACAGTAACATGGAGGGATAATGGTTACTTTTTTCCTCCCGCTAAAACTTATTTCAAGAAAGGTTGCACTTCTGTTTTGCTTTGGGCTCAAATCTGGTGTGAAGCTGTCCACCACAGGAGCATTTTTGTTTAGGCTTGAATTAAAACCATTGTGAGCCAATGAGAAGATGAACTATTTAGGATGTAGTAGAAGTTTCTGAAGACTTACCTAGTTGGCGTTTCAGGAACCCTCATGTATAAAATAGTTCACAAAGATACCAGTGAATCTGAAGTCTCAACTGAATAAAAAGCATGAGTGTAGCTTTCTTGCTTCTTCCTGAGAAAAAAGAAAAGTAGTAGTAGTGAGATATGTATGAGGGAAGATTGTACCTAAGGTTATATTTAAGTTTTCTGGTATGACCACTAAAGGAATCTGTTACATCTTCAGTACTACTATACGTGGCAGAATGGCAATTGTTGTATAGACAGTTTGGGGGAAAAAGTACTTCCAATTTTAGGATCACTTCAGACCTCAGATAAGCAATGTGTGGTTTTTCCAATGCTGTAGCAACAATCTGTATTAGAAGCTGTCTTGTGGGCTGGCTGTTTAGCTGGTGGATCAGAAGTAGAAGCTGATGGATCCCCAGAAGCAGCTGGGGTTTCAGAACTGGGTGGTAGTACTTTGGTGCCGACGGTACAAAATGGCAAGCTTGTTGCTGCAAACTTAATCTGAGATTAAATACAGGCAGTGGAAAGAAAAACAGACTTTCTTTGAAACATGGTGTTGCAGAACAAACACATTCGCTTTTTTTAGTAAAAGGGCTGGAATGTTTGGAGACCAGAAATACACAACTGAGCGGTAGGATGATTGCATAGGTATTAAGACTGGCGAATCCAGTTATCGGTGTGTTTTCTTGTATCTGAGAAATGTGAAGGTAAATAACTACACTTCCCAGCAGAAGCAAATACACTCTTGTTCCAAATACGCTTCCGCTGCTGGAACACTGATTGCACTGTAGCCAGCAGAGGGAGTCCGGGTGATGACCTCCTCCGCAGAGCTGGGCTTGCTTTTGATGCCAACAGATAACCAGAAAGGCTCCGGTTTATGTAGGCATTAATACCAAATAGAAGAAAATAAAGGTATAAAAGGCTGAAATAGTTGGTAACATCTGTCTCAGCCTTTAAAGAGGAATTTGAAGTGTGGCAGTCGGGACAGTTGAACTTGTCTTACTCAGCTTGAGTATTTCAGTCACTTGGGCAGTGCTCCGATTTGAACTGTGACCCACTGCCGAGCTAATTTAAGAAGAATGTTTGTAATGTAATTAGAATAAACTTTGCATTTCCTGTAGCTTTGTAATTAGGTTTCCCATCCCGAAGAGCTGTATTTACTAGTCACAAGGTTATGTGTTTTTTCTTGCACAAAGTTTTTAAAGCATGACTTTTCAGACTGCTAGGCTCTTAGTGGCTATTAGCACAAGTGATTATTTACACTTCGGTCTTTTGACTTCATTGCTAATGAACCATAACATCATTTCAGGTCACAGGCTGAACATCACTGCAGAGAATGATTGCCGCCGTTTGCACTGCTCCTTGAGGGACCTGAGCTCCTTGCTGCAGGCTGTTGGTCGTTTAGCAGAATACTTCACTGGGGATGTGTTTGCTGCCAGGTTCAATGATGCTCTTACAGTGGTGGAGAGGTAGGTTTGGGAGGGGGAATTTGCTGTCCCTTCACCAGGACAAGGAACAATTGTCACCGCTGCAGTGAGTGTGAAAACCAGGGTTTCCTTCTGCCTCCCCTTGTTATGTTTAAATTGAGATACGAAGAACTCAATGGGCAGTACCTTAAGCCTTACATTAATCAGTGCTAAGTTTCCCAGATGGCTTTCTAAGTCCTTAACCGAAGACATAACTGATAGGAAGTATTAAATCAGTCACTTGAAAAAACTGAGGTACTTGTTTTCCAGCATCTGCCTTTGTGATGGAATGAAATGAGATGTAGTTTGATTACTTCAGAGTTGTGTGTCTGAAGGCTAAATTGCCAAAATCTCTTTTCTTAAATGAAAAGACCTGTGAAAAACAAAAGGCAGATGTAATTTGATTCTTCTCTTCCAAGAAACTTAATTAGCACATGGTTGCAAAGTACAGAATTTCAGGGCTTAACACAGCTGCCTTGGTTATGGGTTTTGGGGGTTTTTTTCATTTCCATGCAGGAATATCATACTTGTTCCATCTTACCACAAACGGTGAAATAGGCTCTAAATTATTTTCAGCTAAATGGTCTAAATCTTGTCTACGTATCAGCTAAATATTGGCACAGACTTGCAAAGAGCTGCGTTCAGATAAGATGTTTGAGCGGATTTGTGCATGTGTATATCCATCTCACAGTCCCTTTACGTTACCATATGTATATTCACTTCCAGGTTGGTAAAAGTAACGCTGTATGGATCCCAGATTAAACTGTACAACATCGAAACTGCAGTACCATCTGTATTGAAACCTGACCTTATTGATGTGTGAGTATGAGAGATACGCTGCAAACGATTGTATCCAAATTTGACACCTCCATGCGGTGGAGGAGGAGTGAGATCTCAGGCTGGTGCTCTACCCACTTGCTTGGCAGATGTTCTGAAAAGTGCAGCTCTCCAATGATTGCTGGCTAACCCAGAGGGCACTTGCTTTTAACTGTTGAAGGTCAAGGCTGCTGCCAGCATTTTGAACCACTGTTTCCTCAAATTGATGTACTCAGGTTATTTAAAGAAAAATATATTTGTGATGGCCTTCTGTGATGGTGTGACCGCATCACTGGACAAGGGAAGAGCTACTGATGTCGTCTATCTGGAATTCTGTAAGGCCTTTGACACGATCCCCCACAACATCCTTCTCTCTAAATTGGAGAGGTATGGATTTGATGGGTGGATGAGGAATTGGTTGGATGGTTGCACCCAGAAGGTAGTGGTCAACAGCTCAATGTCCAGGTGGAGATCGGTGACAGGTGGTGTCCCTGGGGTTCATACTGGGACCAGTAGCCTTTAATATCTTCATCAATGACATAGTGGG